TAAGAGACCCCAAACACTGTCCTACGTAATAGTGTCCAATTAATGTAACACCGTCCCGCACCCTCCCAATCCGGAAGACATTCTTTAAGAATCGCAAACAACGATACAATCGCGCGATTAACACAACTGCAATCGCCTTCACGTGTCGGTTCTACGTGCCGTGTAAACACGCTTTTTACCGCGTGTGGTCCGATACGCTGGGACAGGGGCGGGTACGTCGTCGTCGCTAACGAGCCGTAAAGACGGAAGAGGGACGAGAAGGGGCCGGGTCGAGGGGCCCTCGCACAAGGGGGGAGGGGATGGGAGGAGAGAGGGGCAGATGGTCCTCCGACCATGTCGCGAAGTTTAAACAGCTTAGAGGGATGTTGCGGCGCCCCGATGCTTAGGGCGCCAAGTCAGCCGGAAACCTCTAATAGCCCCGTCTGTCTGCGCGGAAAGGAGAAAGAGAAAGAGGGAAAGGGACGTATAGCCGCCTCGTAGTCGGGGATGGAGTCCACAGGCGTACCGTGAACGCGGCCGCAAAGGTGCCCCGGTACAGGTTGTATCTCCGCGAGTATACGATAACCGCACCCTCGAGGTGAGCGCCGAGGGAAGCGCGTTCGACCAGGTATTCGCGTATACGTCGCAGCCGCAACTGAATTCATAATTCGAGAGGGGGAGGGGGAGTCGAGGACGGTGCGCGCTCGTGCCAGGGGTAATTATTAATCGTGTTACGAACACGTCGATGCCAATGTACATATGTACGCGTGTGTTAAAAATACGCGGATACTTTAATTCGGCAATGTTTCCCGAGTGTTTTTCTTATACGGTACAATTTTTGAATAATCACGCGCGACGTTCCCGAGAGGAGCAATAAAGCTACGCGCAAAATTAAGTAATGAGACAATTAATTTAAGAACTTTTCAAGCAAAATTAATATATCGCAGAAGGTAGATGTATAATAAAACGAGTTTATAATGATAACAGAATATTAGAGAATTAATGTGCGCTTGAGTTCCATATATGTAGATTTTACTTTCGAGCAAATTCATTAGCCAAGGATTGCAAACATTAATAAATGAATAATGCATAAAAGTCAGGATTTCGACGCAGCTACGTTTACATGTAACCAGACAGAGTAAAGTAAATGGATGACCTCGACGATTTCAATTAATCATCTCAGTTATTGCGAGTGTTCTAATGGATATCGTATTACGGAGTCTTTCACGAGACTTTAATTTCCTCCGCGATAACGAATACGGATATTGTTTGATGCGTATGACACACATTACATATACGTATATTTCCCTGAAGGCGTATAACGCTAAAAATAAATTTTATTGTCTATTGAAATTTCATTTGAAAACCGATATCTTCGGTTATTCGACTTAATGTGGAACAAAATGTGATTTAATGTACATTTATTCAAACTATTCAACAATAGTCAGTTAAAATTTTTTATGTTTAGATAATTAATGCGAAACAAAAACGACACACATGGAGAACAACAAGCCGTTCAGAAAAAAACTGCCCATTGGAAACAGACGTCTCAAATGTATGTGCCACCGAACATTCGGCCGAAGTAAAAACATTCAAATGAAAAGATGAAAAAGTACACAGAATGCACTCATTCTTTCCTTTTTTCCCTTTGCCTCGGCCCATCGACTTTACTTTATATCAACAGCGGACAGGTTGTGTTTATTGTGAAAACAGGGCACGATCACGCGTGTGTAGATAAGACCACATACACACTGCGAATTGATCATCCCAATGACAGAGGGTCGATGATTTCGATAATGTTCTTCTGTAATCACATGTCGCCGAGAGAAGTCGGGAATCGTTGATTTTACGTTGATTTGAAATGCTGAGGATGACACAGTTTTGAAAAAACGCGCATAGTTAACATCAGTTAATTAAATAAACATACTAGACATTTTGTAGTTATTTGTATAGAAAATTTACTTAAAATTATTTCGGAAAAATCGGCAAAATGCATTGCTTCTCTAGTAAGATTCAATAGCAACGGTTAATTCTGACGTATTATAGGTTTAACGAACAGCATCACGAATTGTCATTGTATTCGTCAAACCGGACAACACATTGCGCGCAGCCAGTCGACGCTATCAAAACTCACGACCCGCCAAGCTTCGCCCTGCGAAGCTCTGAAAATATTCTGCCGCCCCTCCCAAAGACATTCTGCCAGTGTTTTCTCATCGAAGAGACTCGTGGCCACTTGCCAGTCTGTCACTTCGCTCGTCAACCCCTTGCAACGACCGTGCACTTGACTCGTCGCATCCCCTCCCTGCCTCGTCGCGTCCGTCGCCGCTACTCCCCCCGAAAACGTTCGCCTAACTGCGAAGGTAACGCGAAGTAACGCTCCGACCCCTCGTAGCCTATTCCGGGTTGCCGGCTCGCGCACGAACAATATTTGCAGAGCTCTTATTCTCAACCCCCGTGAGCGGCGGCGCTTCGACCCCCCCCCTCCCCCCGCTCGCCCGAACCGCCCGTTTCTCTTTCCACCCCTCGTGTGCACCAGCAACCACCTACCTACCTACCTAATAATGATTTTACGTTACGCCACGCCGTTCCCCGGGGAATCCGACGGTGCCGCACCCTTATTGCACATGGCCCGTGCTCGGTACATGGGGTACGTAGGAGGCCGTAGCGGGGGTTGGAAGGAGAAAGAGGGCTGATTATCATTAGCAGCGGAGTCCCAGAACACCCTCGTAACTGCCTGACGCACGTACTCACGCAGCCGGCGCGTCGCTCGAGGTCGTGGGAGCAGCGAGATTTGTTCGTGCGTATGTGATAAAAAAAAAGAAAGAAAGAGAGAGAGAGAGAGAGAGAGAGAAAGAGAGAGAGACAGAGAAATCGCATCGGAGTGAAAACAGTACGTCGAATCGATCTAGTGAGCGTGTGTACAAGCTACCAGAAGCGTGTAGCTTATCAGAGAAAACGACGAAACAGATTTCAAGCTAGATTTGTATTTCACTTTTTAATAAATAAATTCTACGATAAAAGAATACAATTTGGAAAATTAAATGCTCTGTTCGAATATAAAAAGAATTATTGAATTTTTATTCAAACATGAAGTATAAGCACGTATAATTTTAATTAGAATAAGTAATAATTTTTTTTATTCAACATCTTTAACAACACATTTTTCAGGTAAGAATTCGATAAAAAATTGGTTCTAAATTTTCAAATCACGTAGAACGTATCAAAAGTATCTGTATTGAATAAAAAAGGTTAAAAAATACGCAATGCAACTTTCCCCTTACTCTCCTCCGCTCAAGAAAGAGCTGTCCCCCGAGAGCGAAAGATTCCTACGGAAAAGAGACTCGGACTCATCCTCGTTTCACGGCGCAATTGCTGCGACCGTGAACGTCATTGGTCGGCGCTCTCACGGCGCCTCTGAATTTTTCATTCTCCTGAATAATAAATTAAATGTTTCATGGCGTCCCTCCGCACTGGGACGCAGCGGTGCGTATAGGTGGACACAACCGCGCGCAACACGAGGATTCGTGGGTGATTCTGCAGGTTGTTAGAAAAGTCTCCGGAAGTGACCATCGTTTTGTATCCTGCTGTACGTTGAGTCCTTCGGTCGTTTCG